GTTCTCGATCTTTATCTCGGTGCTGATGTTCTCGTCCACTGCCCTGATCTCGGTCCCTGCCCCTCTCTTTGTCACGGTCACGACACCTTTCGTCGGGGTCTCTCTTCCTATCTTTACTCTTCTTCCTATCTCCCCTTCTATCCCTACTTCTTGAGCGGTGCTTCCGGCGCTCTCTGCGGTTCCGGTGCTCGTGGTGTTCTTGCCGACTGCCTTTCGTGTCGTCCTTTGGTACTAGAGAAGCCGGAGGTGGATCTTCTTTTAACGGTTTGAAGCTCGAAAACTTGGGGACAATACGGCGGGTGGATTCCTGAATAATATATTAGAATGGGCATGTATCGCAGGCGTGATATGGGGTCTTAACAGTAGGCTGGGGATCCATTTCCGAGGCGCTGGTGGTTTCCATTATGTATGGTGATGTTGTGGACATGGCTATTGAGGCTCAAAATAAACACGTGTGTGCAACATGTAAGGTGATCGTGTAATACAATAATAATACTAGTAAAGATTATAGAACAAACGAAAGAAACTTCGGATATCCAAAGTATGGCGGGTGACAGCTGGAAGGGTAGGTACTCTGGTTTCAACTTTACAACGCTTAACGGCTAGACCTAGAGAGGTGATTGCAGTACTCAAAGTGGCGATAGCAAAACCTTTAACCCTACTATACATGTAGTAATATTATGGCCTAGCTTGGTTTCCACTATTCCTAAAACTATCTAGCAGCCCAATTTTTGGGTGTTGAAACGAAGGTACCTTTCCAGCTGTCACCCGCCATAGCCCTGAAGTAATGCGGGTTGACAAAATTAACCGGGAACTACGTTACAACCAAATTTTGTATGGAATTCAATTTCAACGTCGCCTTACAACACAACCACAGCTGGAAAAGTCAAGAGATGTTATATCTGTGATCCTCTATACTTGTATTATCTCAGGCCTTAACATGGACTTAATCACAGGTATTTGAAAGGTTAGTAGTTTATTTGGTTTGGGTGGTTTTAATGCAGTGTCCGGTTAATTTTGTCAACCCGCAATATAATTACTCCAACCTGGTTACATCTAGGCAGAGTACATGCGATCTAATCATTAAGAATTCTAGGGTTAGGTATGTTGCTCTACGGGTGTCGTACTAATAGCCAGTAGTAGAGCCTGACTCGACTTGGGACCACTTCATGAAGCCTGACTCGATTAGGGTTAGGGATGATACCGTTACCATTACCTGTCAATTATGAGTACACGTAGCCTTGGGAAGAAGTGAATCCGGTCGGTCAGAATAATGACATGTAGATACATATAAGCAATACCTGGAGTTTTTATGCCCGCGCCTTGACTCTGAATTCATGAAGTAAACTTCAATTGGCCGATCTTGCAATAACTCTCCATATTTGCCCAACAGACAAAATTGCGCAATATTCAGGATTCCTACCTGTGATTCGACTTTTAATCTCATTTGAGATATATACAATCATTGCGTTATTTTTGATTGTTCTCCGCTACACGTATAGTGTTCCCCATGAGCCGGTTCGAGACGAGCCCAGGGCATAGGCTCGTCTCGTCTCGTCTCATGGGGGTGGTGGGCTCGTCTCGTCTCATTTTATGAGCCCAGGCTCACAAGATTCGAGCCTGTTCGAGCCTTTCCGAGTGATAGTATATGTTGTTGAGAGATCCTACAGAGGCATTAGAAGTCGATGCCAGACCGTTGTTTGGCAAGAATTTGAAGGCTAGAAACGATCCATAGTTCAGAATTAGGTACTATCATCCGTTGAGAGCCCACGGTTAGGAATGGTTGGAGTAGTCAGTACTAGTCACGACAAAAAGGTTCTGCTTGGCTAAAACTAATATAAATTTAGCATAGTATTCCCCATGATTACCAATTCTTGGCGGGCTCGAGACAGGCTCGAGCAGAATTGATAAAAGTCTCAAGCAGGCTCGTCTCATGGGTTGTTCAGTCTCATGGGTTCGAGCCCGCTGTCTCGAGCCAAGCCTGTGAGTCGGATCGTCTCATGGGGAACACTATACACGTATACGTATACGTATTAACACCATGGCCACATCTGCCAGAAAGAATCACTACCGCAGTCAGGTAGATACTGATAAATCCCGCTGCAATCTCACCAACCTTTCCGGCACTATACATGTAATTGCATGTACTCTACACACTTTACCTTGTTATTATACCTCCTGGGCTCTGAAGCAAACCCAGGGCATCAACTCTAAGCGTGAATATGTATGTAGCCAGTGACGATGCCAAGGCTGTAGTCTGCAGGGTCTCAAGGAACGAGTCATAAGCTATGACGCAACGGCCCTTGAAGCTTAAAACCCTCTAGCTCTCTGGGAGTTTAGTGTGCTGTCGTCTTCTAGCTTCATGTTGTCAACAGCAGCTAACTTACTTGTAATCTCTTTGTATGACTTATAGAAGCATGGAAAGCTTTTATAAGCTCGAATATAGACTCGAATCATGATAGCGCTTTTTCACCAGCACGCTGATATATATGAAGTTATTGATGCTTGAATTCATTCTGCCCATGAGCATACTGACTACAATGCAAAATTGCCTTGAGGATATTTAGTAGCGGAATTCACCATCACTACATGTAGCTCTTTGTTCTGTCCTTCCAAGCTCAATAAATACATCTCCCCGGATGAGTGATCCCCCCACTCGATCTACCAGTTTAACAATTACGCCCCGGACTGATATTTGATATTTATTTATATTTATTAGTACAACAGCCCGAAGATGCTACGTTACATGCACCCATTGTTTACTTAATAATAGACTAGCCTCCGGTTTCCTAAGCAATAAGCTCACTGGTACATATGTTGCTAAGGTTAATTGTAATCAGATGGGCCAATCAACTAATGGATGACGCCCAAATATAAAATATACGGGAATGCGGCGGATTCCAGCAAAAGGCCCAAACACAAACCGCCTCCATATTTGATCCGGGGTGATAACCTGGTAATAATCACATCCATGCACAGAACGAAAAGAGAAAGAAAAGTCACTTAAATATAAACACAGAACCGCGACCTACAAAAAAGAACCCACATGTTGACAACCCAAGAAAGAGAAAGGCTTTATTTTTTGTCTCAACTGTATCAGTACAGGTGCCCCAACCGTACCGGTACAAAGCAGGGGATAGAAGAAGAAAAAAAGCACATTTCGACATGATTTCGCCTTTAATATTCCTGCCTGCCCGACTTGATTTCGATTTTTTTTATTTATACCGACCATCCCCGAACACCAAACCAAGTAATTCCTTAACGGTTGGACTTGGCGACACTATAGTTTGGACAAACAAATCAGCTTTAAATCCTAGGTAGGGGATGTTTAAAAAAAAAGGCTTTTGCTTACCGCTCGAGCTCGTCCTTCTTCTTAATGGCGTAAGAGTTAGATGATCCCTTGGCAGCGTTGATAAGCTCCTCAGCCAAGCACTCAGCGATGCTCTTAACGTTTCTGAATGACGCCTCCCTCGCTCCGATAGTCAACAGAGCGATGGCCTGGTTAACCCTCCTGAGGGGGGAAACATCGACAGCCTGTCTCCTGACGGTACCGGCAGAACCAATACGGGTTGAATCTTCACGGGGACCGCAGTTGACAATGGCATCAACAGCGACCTGAACAGGGTTTTGGTCGGTCATGAGGTGGATGATTGAGAAAGCGTGATCAACGATACGGACAGCCTGGAGCTTCTTTCCGTTGTTGCGACCGTTCATCATTAAAGAGTTGGTAAGACGCTCAATGATGGGGCACTGAGCCTTACGGAAACGTTTTACGGCGTAGCGGCCAGCGGAGTGAGAGAGGTAGACCGGGTTACGGATGTTCATGTAGTCGCTGTGTATTGACAATTTCATGTCAGCTTTCCATCCGTTTCAAAGGTCTGCCTTTCCTCCTATGCTTCTTTCTATCCCGCGGCTTCCTTCCATTATGCTTCCATCCTGTCCATTGAACCTTGCATTCCACCACCCCCACTCCATCCATCCATCCTATAAATCATTGCCTTCCCGCGAATCTGTAGAAAGCAGTCGGGGGGGAGGTCCTACGTCAACGAGATATCCCTGATCTCAACATCTTCGTAGCTCCACTTGTTGAAAAGCTTGATGCTACCAATCTCCTCGGTAACCTCCTTGGGGAGAACAGAGTAGTTGGCCGAGGCGACCTCAACTTCACCGAAATCAGACATTTTGCTGGATATTAAGCTGGGTTCTGTAAATTTTTTCGAAAATTAGCAAAAATGACGGGGCGATTTCGAAATTTCCAACGCCTGGAGGAGTTAATATCTGACGTACATAAAACTCTGGTAGCCGCAATGGTCTCTCGGATTGTCGTGATCGTGAAGGGTGGTAGTCAAGTTGTTTGGTGGAGATCTTTTTTTGGTGGATCTGAGAGAGTGTGTGGTAGCTGTCTTGGCAGAGAGATTGTAATCTGATTGTGGCCTGGGACTGCTTTTTAGTCAACAGCAAAGATTAAGCGCTCTTGCACCCTTATCTGATTTGATTACTAAGGATCATTGGTTACACAAATGGCTAGAATTGAATATGCATGGGAAGATGAGAAACCGCCCCAAAAGTATCGTATATCCTCTAAAAACATTTTTCTCGCAGTACATTTCTATAGTCTCTATCTTCTTAGATATCACCAAATCACAGACTTTTTTTTTGAAGTTTTCGCCTCGACTTCCCCCCTTGCTCAACCCCTGTCTGCCAGCCAGCATCCTGATCGCCTTCTTTTCCATTCATCGTCTTTCTTCATCACACTCATCACATACTTCGATAGCATACAACGAATCCACTCACCGACTAACCGGTGAATTCTCTATCCGCATATCGGCTACAAAGATTATTTAAAGAAAAGGGTTCGAGTTCACCGCTTTCTCCTTCTGCCCGCTCACAGGGGAATTACCTAACACCTTTGTATTTGCCCTCGTGTTCCAGTGAATAACCCCCCCAAGAGAATCGCCCCATCAATAGACCTACGAAGAGAGCAAGAGAAATAGACAATCATGTCGGGACTAGACGTAGAAGCCCTCCTCGAAGCCTCAGAGAGCAATAAACCTAAGCAGCCAGATCATCAAAACAGTGCCTTTTCTTCTCCGAAACCAGATCGGAACGGCGGTGGAAGCGTCAAGTCCTCTTCATCAAGACGTGATAGGGACGATAGGGATCGCGATCATAGGGGCGACGACAGGAGCCCAAGAAGCGAGCGCCATCGCGAGCGAAGAGCAAGTAGAGACAGTGATAGGTGAGCACCTGAGCTTCAACCTTATTCCCCCCATCATCAAGGAATATTATGCGCGGCAGTCACGTACTTACAAACATCCGATCTTTTTTAATAGACGTCGCACTGGCCGTAGGGATTCCTATTACGACGAACGTGATGACTATGATTACTCCTCATCGCGCTACAGGCACCGGTCCCGTGAACGGGATGATGATAGGTACTCTTCGAGACGCGATCGCGATCGCCGCGAGAGCGATTATTATGATGGTGGGAGACGTGATCGCCTTGACCGCAGATCTAGAAGCCCAAGAAGACGTGCGGGGAATAGGAGAACTAGGTAAACTCGACAAAACATATATCACTGGCTGTTCTTTTACTAACAGATGGATTCAGATCACGTTCACCTCAGTTGACCGAAGACGAGCGTGATCGTCGAACTGTTTTTGTTCAACAGTTGGCTGCGAGACTTAGGACCAAGGAGCTGATTACATTCTTTGAGAAGGTTGGCCCAGTCAAGGAAGCCCAGATCGTCAAAGACAGAGTTAGTGGTAGATCTAAGGGGTACGTAAAAGTTTTCTATATAAAAAGAGAAATTCTAGAGCTTTTGCTAATATTTCTTGTAGTGTTGGTTATGTAGAATTCAAGGATGAGGCATCTGTGCCTAAGGCAATCCAATTGACCGGGCAGAAGCTTCTCGGTATCCCAATCATCGCGCAGCTTACAGAGGCAGAAAAAAACCGACAGGCTCGAGTCAGTGCGGCGGAACAGAATACAGCGAACCAAGTACCTTTCCATAGACTTTATGTTGGAAATATTCACTTTAGTATCACGGAGAGCGATTTGCAGCACGTTTTTGAACCGTTTGGAGAACTAGAGTTCGTCCAGCTCCAGAAAGAGGAGAGCGGTCGTAGCAGGGGTTATGGTTTTGTGCAGTTAGCTCCCCTTGCTAAGCTATCTTCTCAGATATATACTGACACCATGCGCCTAGGTACCGTGATCCTAATCAAGCAAGAGAGGCACTTGAGAAGATGAACGGCTTCGACCTTGCCGGTCGTCCTATCCGTGTTGGTCTCGGAAACGATAAGTTCACACCCGAATCCACCGCGCAAATGCTTCAGCGTTTCTCAGGCTACCAGGGCTTCCAGGGCTCTGCATTCGAAAACCGTGGCCGTGGTGGCAATGACCGTGTTGGTCGCGCTGACGATAAAGCCGGTGGAGCTGGTGCTAGCGCTCTCGATGATACCGATGTCGCTGGAGTAAACTTTAACAATTATAGTAGGGACTTGCTCATGCGCAAACTTGCGAGACAGGACGAACCGGCTCCCACGTCAGATAAGCCACATACGAACGGAAGTAGTGGAAAAGAGATGCCTGTGAGGCAAAAACAGAAATTACCCGAGAAGGTGATTGCTGGTCACAAGTCTCTCCCCCTTGACGTTCCCATGGCTAGTAGGTGTGTTGTATTGAAGAATATGTTTGACCCCACCGAGTAAGTTCTACCTCCCCTATTTTATCTTCGGAACACTGGAAGTTAACGTTATATCAGAGAAACCGGTGATGCGTGGATTAAAGAACTAGAAGACGATGTAAAGACCGAGTGTGAAGGCAAATACGGCCATGTTGTTCATATCTCCCTAGACCCCAATAGTCAGGGTGAGATTTATATTAAGTTCGAAAAGGTTCAAGGGGGCGAGAAAGCCATTCAAGGGCTTAACGGGAGATTTTTCGGTGGAAGGAGAATCTCTGCCAGCCCGGTTGTCGACGCTGTGTACTCGAGTTTGTTCGGGCGATCGAATGCCAGCAAAGCAATCTAAGCAGACAGACAGTGGCGGGCAGGGGGCTAGTGAGCATTAAAAAATTGAGGATTAGGATGGCAGGCTAGGGACTCAATACATGATGAGATAGACGGTACGTGTTGCTATTTGCTTCGCTACTATCTCCTACTTGATGATCGATGGGTTTTTTTTCCTTATCACTCTAGGTACATTTGACTGTGGGTGGATAGTGTTTTCCTCTTTTATTTTTAGTTTTTTTGTTTTGTTTTGTCGGGATATGAACGCAGTAAAAACCAAAAGTAGGGCGCCATATGACTGTTCTGCAGAAACTCTTAAACTGGAGTGATTTTTTTTTTTGTTGGGCTATACTCTACCACTCACGCCTTCTTTTGCTTTTTTTTTTTTTTTTACCTGTGATTATACAGATAGTTAGGCTGTAGAGTAATTTAATGAAAATGTGGGTACAACAGACTATTAGATCACAAGAGGAAGCTCTTTGGTTACGCGCAGTCCGAGGTCCAATACTTTAGAAAAGAAAAATAACGATATGTATAGTAAGTCAAGTTTGTTGACCCATTGCTGCAGGCAGCATCACAAGATCTCGTTCGAAGTATATATCCTACCGACCCACGTTGTCTGTCCGACCGTCGGGTCCATGGGAAGAATGCGTCAGTCACAGCCTTACTGAAATTAACAAAATCTTTGTTCCCCGGTCCCGGGACCTTGGTTCCTTTTCCTTGTTCGCACCTGAGGAGCGGAGATTTACTGCACCCAATCATAGCGATTGCATCATGAGATCTCGCTCGGAGTTTTCTAGGCAGACAGGTTTGTCAACAACTGCAGTTTCCATCCCAACTCCTGCATCCCGTACGCGTGCCGGGCGAACCAACCAGGCAGCTGCAGCCAATCATTATACCCGTACACCCAAAGACAAGGGGCTGCAGGGTTTATCTGCTATCCTTCTTTCCTTCCTTTTAACTTTTCATTCCTTCGCTATTATTGGTGGTTGAGGCTGCTGCTGGTAGGTTGTTTGACGTGGTATTTATTATCCACTCAGCATAGTATTTATCTATCCTGTTGTTTTATTGGTAAACCGGTCTGTTTTAGGAAGATACCACAATAAACACTGGTCTGCTGAGCTAGACGGCGAGGCTTTCTATGTTTGCGTTTGTTTTGTGGAGGTCCTTATAAAAAACATCGTGGGCCCCATTTTTGTTCTTGCTGTCTTTGAGAACCTTTTTTTCGTTGCCTCGCCTTACTTTGCTTTTCTTTCCCTTGACGTTGACCTGCTTTTTTTGTTCGTCTTTTTGCGGTCATCGCTGCTGTTATTCTAGGTTTGAGAGTGCAATCGCCAAGACAAGGGTTACTTGATAAGACAAGAAGCCATGATTCCAAGCAGTGAGCCCAATAAAACTCCATGCAAAGTTTAAATATGGAAATACTAATATGCAGTAGAAAAGGGTGTAATCGGGGCCGAGCGGCTGTCACGGGTCGTTATACCCAAGCCAGAAGTCCGTCATAGGGTAAGCTAGCGATGTCAACATTTATACATGCTCCCCTGCCCCAATCATAAGATCTCACTCATTTCTAAAGGAGGCTCACTCATCACTTCCGACTAACCTCGTCATCTATCCCTAGGAAATTTCTGGCTTCCCTTTCCTTCTCCCCTCGTCTCTATGCGCGCTAGAATCTCCCTTGGCCTACAGCAATTCTATTTTCAGTCAATCTTCCAAGATCATCACTGATAATACTACAAACAATAGCAACATGAGTTCCGGCTTTCGTTTCTCCGCAACTTCGGAACCCTTCACGCCGATCGAGACTCGGCCGTGTACACCTACACCCCCTGCCCGCGCAGATCCGATTGCGGTAGCAAGACTACAGAATGAGCTTCTTGAGACATCCTTCCAAGTCAATTCACTCACTGGGAACCTGCGTGAATGTCAAGAGGACTTACGGGCTAAATCTGCCGAGAATAAACGGCTACGTAGCTACATCCACACACTCGAGGTCCTCAATTCGCGTCAACCTCCTGCTCCGGTCCCTCTACAAGCGTCTATTCCTTCCGCACCTCCTCCTTCTTCACTTGTTGCTCCGGGACGAGTAGCGACAAATGGGGTCACAAAACCCGATAGCTTCTTCAAGGAGGAGTTTGGAATGCTGTTCCGTGAAATCCATAATTTTGGGAAGGGCTTCTACAAGTTCGCCACGGATGTCGATATACCATCGGAGCTGGCGGGGACAGTGAAGGATATTGTGGGTGATGAGAGGATGCTGCGGGATACCCACACAAAACTGTTGATTGTGGCAGGGATCGTGATGCGATTTGTCTGTTTGGATGTATTTAGAGACGGAGAGATCCCGGAAATGAGGGAGGAGCAAACAGGTGAGATTGGCAAATTTCAATTTTTCCCTCGATTTATTAACAGTTACCCAGCCTTCCCAACAGCCTCGGAAAAATACAGCACCAAATCCGCCGCCCTCGCAACGAAGATTCATACATTTATCCTACCACTCATGTCCCGCCCTGGAGATCAGAAACACTGTGAGGAGTCGTTCCGCCTGTTGGAGGCACTCATCTCGCATGCTTTCCGTATTGGTGTTGATAGAGACAATTGGCGGTTCTCCTTCCCAAGTCGTGGAGCACGCTTCGTAAATGCTACAATGGTACCATGTGATACGAGGAACCTAGGCTTCTCGGGTGAACAGGAGAGGGATAATGGGACTCTCGAGAGCGGGGGGAGGGGTGTCGTTTTTTGTGTGTTGCCGTGCATAGAGAAAAGGGGTATAAAAGGATGGGGTGTTGTTGTGAAGGCGAGCGTGAGGGTGTAAGTTGCGATATGCCTAGTGGTGATATATTTTTAACTGTTTTTTTAGGTATTAATTTTCCCTCGTTTCCTTCTCTTCTGCGGTGACGTTCGGTTTTCGGTGTCTCTTGGATGGGCCCCTGTATGGTGGCCTGGTATTAACATTAGTTAAATACATTTAATCCAGTGGTGAGATAAATAATTCTATTTACTTGAATCTTATAACTTACGGAGTATTGTTTGGTTAGTGTGTCCTTAGAAGTTGATGGCGATAACGAGTAACAACAAGTTGGCGGGAATTTGATCGAGTGATAATATATGATCAGCCACGATCTCTGGCTTGGTAATCATCCTGTACTGCCACTCTCGAAATAAAAACTAAAAACCACTGGGTTTCAGTTGAGTATGGACCTTGAGGCTACTCTACTCGAGGCGAGCGGAGAAACACCTTACACTCTCAAACTTAAGGGAGGTATGACTTATTCTACTCGATGAAAGTGAAACTGTATGTCAATTTTCAGGTGTGCAAAGCTTAAGGGGTTTGTATGAGGGTAGGTACAAGTAATGCCGAAAGGCCTTATATACATACATGTACTGGCTGTAAACAGCACTGGCCACTTGACCTCAAAGCCTGAAGGGTGCACGTAAACCATAAACCAAGATTTCTGCTAAATAGAAGGTTTTTCTACTCGCTGCGAGAAGAAAATTACAGGATAATTTTCAATTTCAATTCCATTATCATGCCAAAAATAGCGGAAATTCATTCTTATGGTGTACGTCCACCCAGCCGCATTCTTTCCTACTTTGCCCATCGATCTTCGAAAAACATATCGATCCCATTAGTTATGCATAAAATCTCTGCTTACCTCTTAATAATGCTGCTGCGCCGGCTTTTGGTTATAAATCTGCATGACAGCCGGCCTGGGCCGGATCATGGGATTTAAATGTCGGCGGCCGCGGCCGGATCAGTTGAGTGGGGGCTAAAGTGGACCACGAGGCTACTCGAGGCAAACAGAAGCAAACGCATTGAGAAGCCTCTGAATTTTGGGGCAACTCCCTTGCTGTACTCGAGTAGTAACGAGACGATGTTTCAAGGTACTCCGATTAAAGCATGTGAAGCAAGCGTTGAGCATAACTGCCGAAGATCAAAAGAAAACATGCAACCCTATAATCAGACCTTATGCCACGCCAATGGCGAATTTGATCAAACTAAACCTACGTGGTTTTGATACTAGAGTAATTATTCACATATATATGTGGTTTTATGCTAGAATGTAGACCTAAATCGAATAATGACATTGCTGGGATTCGTTGGATTAGTTGCGAAGTTGAGGTTGAAGCTGGAGTTGGTTCTTCCCCCCCCCTCTCTCCCCTTTCGTTCCTAATTGTCATGACATGGCCTTTTTGTGGTCATATGTAGGTAGAATTTTGATTTGGTATTAACTGGTCACGGCTTTCAAATCGTGGCTGTGCATGTTAATGGCCGAGTGATGATGTGTGATTGATACACAATCACCAAGATGTAAGAGATGAACTGCCCTGCACAATACCCATGAAGGACATAAAAACCTGTTCGATTCAATTAGCATCGCTTACATACATCCCGGACATAGGGATTTATGCACGGTGGCCCTTGATTTGTAACCACGCCCAAGACAGGGAAAAAAAAAAGCTTAATGAAACGGCTAGGAAACATCCTTGGCTTGATTACTAACCTCAAAGAAGTTTCGCAGAAGTTCTAAGTTCTTAGTACTTTCATCACCAGAGCTTGTTAAGCCGTGATCGTTACCTTAAACGGTGCTGGTCAACACGCACGGGCCCATGCCTGCCAAACTGCCAACCCACACTGGGTGGGATGGTCGTCCCGCTTGTGCATCACTACTAGTATCCGCATCTATGCGGAAGTGAGGGGTGATGTGATATATGTTCGTCATTAGCAAGCTGGAGCGGTGATATAGAAGGAACACATATGACGTTGAATTGAGTATAAATATGGCCCCCCGCACTCGGGGTATGATATATCTCCATCTCTATCCTCATACTACTTCCACTCCATCTACTCTAGTCTACCATCGCCCTAGCTATCAATCAATAAAACTACTTAATCCATCTTACCCCCATTTCTTCGATCATAATGGCCCCCAAGATCTTTGCGTAAGGCTTCTTAGTTCTACCAATTCACCCTCAATCCACTAATACCTTCTAGCACTGGTGCCTCTGGCTACATCGGCGGTGCCGCTCTCGATGCCATCATCAACGCCCACCCCGACTACGACATCACCGCCCTCGTACGAAGCCCACAGAAGGCCGCAGCCCTAGTTGCCAAATACCCCAACCTCAAGACTGTCAATGGCGATCTCGACTCAGGATCCGTCATCGAATCCGAGACAGAGAAGGCCGACATCATCCTCCACTTCGCGGACTGCGACCACGTCCCTGCTGCCAAATCCATCTCCGCCGGCCTCAAGAAGAAGACCACCCCTGCCTTCATCATCCACACATCTGGCTCTGCGATCCTGCCCGACATTACCAAGGGCGAGTTCGGACAGCAGGCGGACGAGAAGATCTATGACGACATTGAATCTGTCAAGGAAATCACGTCGTTCCCGATCGATGGACATCTACACAGGGATGTTGACACTATCATCCTGGAGGCTAACTCGGATAATGTCAGGACGGCAATTGTGTGCCCACCGACTATCTATGGTGTTGGAGCTGGCACAGCGGGAAATACCCGCTCTGCCCAGGTCCCAGGGCTCACCAAAGGCACCCTGAAGCGTGGCGAGGCATTCCAGGTGACTGCGGGGAAGAGTATTTGGAACAATGTGCACATTGACGACTTGTCACAGCTGTACCTCCTCCTCACTGAAGACGCCGCTGCAGGTGGTAAGAAAGCCACCTGGGGCACAGAGGGTTACTACTTCGCTGAGAACGGAGAGCATGTTTGTGGCCCCCACTTCCCCGGATTTTGCAGCTCGCATGACGCTAATCTCGGATAGGTCTGGGGTGAGTTGGCGAAGAAGATTGCCGAGAAGGCTAAGGTCAAGGGGTACCTGAAGACCAACGACGTCGCCTCGTTGAGCGTTGATGACATCAAGGAGATCCACCCATTCGGCGCTGTTCTTTGGGGAACCAACTCGCGAGGGAAGGCCTCAAGGGCAAGAAAGGTTTTGGGATGGGCACCAAAGGGTGCACCGTTGGAAGAGACACTTGATGCGCTGATCGACTCTGAGGCAAAGCTGTTGGGATTGGAACCTTCTGGACAGACTGTCGTTTAAAAGCATAGTATTAATTAGGAATTGAGATCTTTTGTGATGGAAATAGCTAGCGTTAAATAAACAAATTTACGATGCCAGTTGATCTCCCTTACTGATAATGTTTTCTTTCTGCGTATGAGTGCCATAAAAAACTTGAAAGTTGAGGCAGGGTAGAGGCCGTATATCCTATTGCTATTTAAGTCTCACAAGAAAATGCATTGGCATTATCTTGTAAAGTGAGCTAGTCACTGGAGATTATTTTCTCGCAGGTTCCAACATGAGGGATACTCAAACTTTATGGTTCAGCAATTATACAGCTCGGCATTGCAGGAATCAAAATCAAAACCGGAGATAGCGAGTTGGGCTCAGAACTAGACCTCCAACTACCCGCCCCTCTGAATTATAGTATACTGCGTAGTATATAGTTTATCTTTTACTGACATTGCTCTACATCTCCAAACTTCTATTCAGATTCAACTTAACAGGGATAAGTGTGGAGTAGTGATTTGCTCCACCACTGTTGGGTATCTAAGATTATGCTCTCGCCCTAGTTCTTGCGAACCCCAGGAAATCCAAGGAGAATTCCTTAACAAATATTATCCCAGGAATGGCCGACTGTAGGACACCTAGCAACGGATATAAAGACCGCTATTGATATCTATATCTAAATGAAATATACCTCATCAAAATACTTCAAGCTCAAGTATAGTACTAGTTCTAGCGGCTGTAGACCAGTATCCGACCACATGACGCCACCCAATAACAACTGCATATTTATTGAACTGTATTTGTATTTGGGGGGCTTTCAACCCTGGACTAAGCTCTCTGATATAAGCTATCTAGACCTCGGTTCTGCATAAGGTAGATGCAAAGGTTCATCAACGATCACTCGTCACAGGGAAACAGCGGAAGAGGGTTTCTAGAAGTTTATAGATTTTAGTATCTGGCGTTGATATTCTTCTTCATAGCTCCAAGTCTGCATCCTTAAGCCCTGCTATTGCGTGTATAAATGAGAGGAACGAGCACGGTTATTCTCGTACCGATTCTTTACTCTTCCGGTATGGTAGTGTTTGATAGTGCCTATGAATGTCTTGATACCGCCTATATGATTTAATATTACTACTGGGAGACACCCGGAGTTTTCCACTTGGGTTATCGATATCTTTGAATTTACGGCACATGATGTCTAATAACATTTTGATAACGGCCGCAAAAGCACTAAGCCTATGGTAAATTGCATAGACAACTCCATCATCATTTCCATATGGGAAAGTCACAAGGCAGTTATCATGGGTCCATGGCGAAACCATATAGTTCTAGCGCCCCGTGGGTTGTGCTTAATACCAAAAGAATTCTAAAGCCTCCTAGAGATGGGAGTGTGTGAGAGTGCCCCGAAAGTGAGGAGCAATAACGCAGATATATACGGCATTATCATAAATCGCGGGTACGTCCACGTTATACGCCATAGGATGAGGTATAGATTTCGTTTGGCAGCAGAGAGTATGCATTCTTATTTGGACTCTAGTTACTAGTGTATCTTATTTAGAATGCCAGGTTAGTTGAAACCTGAGGCCAGATCCGAAGGTGGACATGCCCAAACTTCTACTCATACAAGAATAACCTTGGCCTGTTCCAGGCGGGCTTCTTTCTTAAGTCGCAGCTTGAGCCATATCTTTAGGATCGACACTCCGCTCATTGGTCGTCGAGAACAGTAATCTAGATTAGAGTATGTGTATACCAATATAGGTGAAGAGGATGGTTTTTCTTCGTCTCCATAGACTGTTGGAGAGACCAGATATTCTGGTTCGTGAGTGAAGTTCATCCAACGATACATGTAGGGATAGCAAAGGGCGGTAAGCTCGCTTCCTAAACAGGCCCTTTCTGGCATTGATAACAGGTACTCCAGCTCCAAAACTCGAGTGACAAATTATGAATGCCGTACTGGCGAGAAGCCTCACTGGGGTTGAGTCATACATTGAATTATAATCGAGATCGGGCATAACTATACCGGCCGAAGCTACACGTTAGGAAGGTAGATAGGTGTATTACTCACAGCCTGACCCACCAAGCAACCTTAAAAAGGCTGGTCTCCCCAAGTCCCTCCAGCAGAAACATCCAGGAACAATGACCGACATAACCATCCGCGGCCCCAAACGGGGCGACAAAGGTCCATTCTTTGACGATGCCATGAAGATCCGTGTCCCCGTGTTTGTCGAAGAGCAGCACGTCCCCGCCGAGAACGAGCGTGACAGCGACGACCTCCGCTCCCTCCACTGGGTCGCCTACGAGGGCACAACCCCCGTCGGTACCATCCGCATTGTCCCCCCGCACGAGCACCGAGGCTACATCAAGCTGGGGCGGTTGGCAGCGTTGAAGGAGTATCGGGGGAGAGGTGTAGGGCGGCTGCTGGTCGAGGCGGCGGCCGAGTATGCGAGGGCGAATCCGGTGGAGATGGGACCGATTGGAAGTGCAGGTGGGGTAGCAGATGGGGATTGGGATGGGAGATGTCTGGTGCATGCGCAGACGGCAGTGAAGGGATGGTGGGCGGGCAGAGGATTTGTGCTGGATGAAGGGTTGGGGGAGTGGGATGAGGAGGGGATTATGCATGTGGGGATGTGGATGAAGATTGTGGAGGATGTGCCCCCAACGTTGCAGGGGAAGGCGTAGAGCGTAGATTGAGGGCAGGGTGTGGGATTAGGTTTCTCAGGCAAAGTCTCTGTATCGTCTACTAATAGAGGCCCAATGCGGTCATCATTCACTTAAGCTATGTAGATTGTCGACTGGCTATTGGCTATGCTTCGCATACGAGGGAGGTCCACCTCGCCGTACGTCTGGGGGTTTGGAGTCCGGTTAGTAGGTACATGCAGGGCTTCTCCTATCAAGTCCCAGGCCTCAAGGCGAAGGGCAATAATCACGGCTTTCCTGTCAATTGAGGCTCATAGAGGCTCTGACGGATCGACCCGCTGCACCCTTTCCACACCTGGCAAGTGACCATAGGCACATCAGTCCCTTAACTAAACAATAAAAAATACCTCTTGAGGTCGTGTAGCGTAAAACATACCGCTATTCTATTAAAATCAATGCAGGGACAATAAAAAATACGCAGGAAATGTGGATTCTCACTCATGGTACGGTTGCCAAGGAAGCGCGCCCACTCCCACTTTCACATCCCCATTGGGGTCAAGGATCGGTTATCAAGACAGGGTATCACGCTACGCAACGACAGTCAAGTCGCGGATCGCGACTTTCTTCCATCTCCCCTACATAATCTATCGGTTCTCCCACCCTACTCTACCTATCACCCATCCACCACAACACTCTTTCTATATCTCCAACTCTCTCGTTACCGTTCCACAAATCTCTCAGCGTCTACTTACCAATATCCTCCTACTCACAAATCTCAATTCGCGTGTTTCTCATAGTCCCCACACACAAAGCTTTCCCCACATCCGAGTGAATCCACGCCCATTTTGCCTTGTCCCAGCAAAAAATGGCGTCATCAATCTTTTACAATACCCCATCGGGGACATCACGAATGCACAACTTCGGGCAAGATGAGATCGACTACGGCTTCCAGCCAACCTGGGCAACCGTCCCCGTGCAAGCGGCCTTCGACACGTCGCCTGGCGCCGGCGCTCGCCGTGACCAGCTGCTAGGAATTACACGAAAGCCCATCTGGCAGGAAGCAGAAGAGAAAGAGAAGGAGAGAGAGCTCTTTAACCAGGAGCAGCTGGACATGACAGCGACCGAGAGCTTTGCGTTGGCGACTATGGCTACGGCGTTCCATGCGACGAGTGGTGTTGCAAGGATCGTTGGGACGACGTTTGTGTTCGCTGGAAAGGTCTTGTGGGCTGTTGGCGACGGCGTGAAGAACATCATCAGTAAGAGGATTAGTCAAGCGGGGTTGACACCGATGGAAAGGAAAATTAGGATGAAATCCAGGAAGAAGCCGGTAGTTAAAAAGAGGGTTAAAAGTAGGATGTTTGATACCGATAGCGATAGCGAGACTGCCGAAGACGATAATGAAGATGATTCGGATTCAGATCCGGAGACAACTGGGATGCAGAGTATGCTGGCTATGCCGCCGCATATGGTCGGAGCTACTCCGTATGTCGACCTGATTCTGTTTTAGAAGGGTTTGGAATGTGGTTGTTGATGCTAATGATGTTCTATAGGAGAATTGTTCGTAATCAGCGTCGCACTATCCGCCATCCAGCACAAGCGCCCAAATTTTCATCACCAGCTGCTGTTAAAACCCGCCGCCGTAAGATGCCAAATACACCAGCCTTAAAGCGTAAAGTCAGATTTGAGGACGACTCGAGCACCCCCGCCGGTACGCGCGCAAATAACGCTCCCAATACCCCAGCATTTGTATTCAATACTCCGAAGGAAAAGAAAAAACAGATGACCAAAAAAGACGAGTTTAAGATGAACTTCAAAAAAGATATATTTCAGCCATGGGTTGACTATCTCCACAAATATGGATGGTCACGTGGCGCGTTTAGGGCTGCTTTAGCGAACTATGAGCTCCCTACTGATATTATTAGTCAGTTATACGATATGCGTGATACCAACCCAAAGGCGTGGAGCACTCTTATCGAAGCTCACAGTCACGACGGATTTATTGAAAGACTCAAATTATTTGTTCCGGCTGTTGCATACCCTGAACCTATTGACTGGGAGGTTCTAAGTGCTAGAGGAGGCCCAAAGGTTTCTTCCGAGAGCCGTCTACAGCAAAAGGACGGAAAGTGCGTGCTCTGTAGAGGCATGTCATGGGCTGGGAAGGTTTATACCAGAGAGATTGCCGAAGGAGAAGATGTGCCATGCTTGAGCCATCATAAATCTGTTATCCCATATACTCAAGCAGAACTCAAAGAAATCACACCTACTAGTAGCGACCCAGTATTTAGAAGATGGTGCCAGGAATCACGCTGGGATTGGCTTTTTAGTGATCCACCAGTTAGCGGTCTTAACGCAGACGAAACCCCCTGGAAAATTCCCAACGATGACCCGAGACTTCGCCATGTTGCCCGCCTCGGTGATCCTGAGAACCTGGAGCATCCTACTGAAGCCATGAGGATGTTGGTCTTTACCAGCTTGCAGGAGAAATATACTGCTCAAGACCTGGCTGCCAAAAGGTTCCTTGATGGCATCCAATCCACAGGCAATCTCATTCTCGCCGAAAAACTCAAGAAAATGGACCTCGAACGGAAGCGCCAGCAGGTTGACCAAAAATGGCTCTGCGTCCGCCAGGTCAAAGTCGTTTTCAAGGAAAAAGAAAGCATTCTCCGCCACGGCCGCAAGCGCACCGCCGCTGATGCCGATATTGAGGAAAATAACGCAAAGAAAGCACGCAGCGACGCCGCTGCTCCAGTATTTCGCAAGATCGCCAGTGTCCGCAAATCATCCATAAGACCCCCTGCTAACACTAACACTAATGCTATTAAAACCCCCTTCCTCTTCGAGAAGCCATCGTTTACTATACCAGCTCCATTTGACCCCGTCGAAATCAAAAATATCAGGCTTATCCCACCTGTACCGGAGAAACGGACTGACCCTGACACACTCTTCAAGCGCCGATACGAAGAATCAACACGATTCTCGCCGAAGCCACAGAAAACCGTCAGCTTTAGCGCCTCCACTGCCGCACCCGATGAAGAAGAAGAGCCATTGTCGAAAGAGGAGCTCGAAGCAATCGCCTACAACGAGGAATGCGAACGCCAAGAACGACTAAAGCAGCTGCGGCTCCAGGAAGAAGAATTCTGCAGGAAGGAACGCGAAGAGGATGCCGAGAGGCGTAAGAACAACCCCAGTACTAACAGCAAAGAAAATGGTAAATCTTCATCTCGTTATGGCGCCCCTGGACCCGGAAGCACTATTAATAAGGACAACGATTCTGATAACTTGGGCAGCGGAGGGCAGAACAACTACAGGCGGCATCGAATTCAACTCCAGCGTGAGGCTAGGCGCGCGCGCTGGTATAAGGAAATAAAGATGATGGAGGAGGCACAATCCGATCTGTCGGTCGGGTTCGTGCAGCGGATGAAGTGGGCGCGGGAAATCAAAAGGCGGAAGGATATGGAGGAGAGGTGGGAGAAAAAGCAGAAGGCGAAGGTGGAGAGAGAGCAGAAAAACCGGGGAAAGGGGATGGCGGACCGAGAGATGAACGCCTGGGAAGCTGAGCACAGGCGTCAGCAATCTTTGTCCAATAGTCCGGAAGATCAATATAATCAACATGTTACCAATCACTCAAATTCGCCTAACATGTCCCCTACATGTACATCCGGTACTAACACTAGGACTAACGCTGACGCTAAGGGTGCTGCCAACGCTGACAACGGTTTCGTTGGCAGCACAGATAACTTTTCAGGTAAGAGATCAATATTTACCTCTATGCTAGATGATACTGACACATTGCTCTAGTTCCTCTTCCAACTCCCAAGTATCTCCAACGGGCTCAGGCCCCACTTCAACAATCTGCCAGGCCTCGAGTGCCTTTCGGGGCCAAACCCAACCCCCCTTCCCATAAGCCAGCACGTCCTCCTGTTCGTCCCCTTTCCCCTCCACTAAAGGAGGCCCCCAGGAAGGAGGGGCAGAAGGAGCAGATCTACAGAGTGAGGAAGTCGATACCTCTTTTTCGCCAGTCTGGGTCTTCTTCTGGTTCTTCTTCTGCCTCCCCTCCAGCTGTGCGTGAGCCGACGCTCCCGCCGCTACCGAGGCATGCAAAGGCGAAGTGGCAGGGTGGGGCGAGGCTTGGAGAATGATTTGGAGAACGGTTTGGAGAATGCGGAGTAGGAATGGGATTGTTTGAATGGCGTATTTTTTTTTAAAGGACCGAGAATTTAATTATCTTTTTCTTTTTTTGGAGGCGTTTTCCTTTTGGGCTCTTTTTGATAATCCTGTATTTTTCTCCTCCTTTTGTTCATATACCCTTATTCATTGTATTTTTTATTCCTTTTCTTTCCTCTCCATCAATTCATAATATGATAATTCTTCCAAACAATCAAGATGTCCTTATCATAAAGAAATAAGGTCAATGATCGCTACGTGTGTTGGTGCGGTAGTTCGTGACCTATCATTGACACCACCATCTAATCTTATCTGATCTTTATGTCGCAAATGCTGGCGCTCTGTGTCAGCTTGCTTGGCAATGCCCAATTCGCCGGCGGCCATGACATGGCGAGACAACACGGCATCTTTGTGTCGTACATTAAGTATGGTACATATCTGCAGTTGAGATATGGCAGTTCCTGAGAGGCCATCATCATCGTCAAGCTTAACGTGGTGTGTTTGACGTGAAGGGGGAGATGTATGTAGGTACGTATGGGACGATAATAGCAGTAGGCAGCAGCAGAGAGTGTCAGAGCTGTATCGAAATTGTCAATATCACATCGATTGGTGTAGGAGCGCCCAAAATCCATGCAATTATCTGTCTACTCCACTCTACATGGATAACTTTGGAAACGAGCCTCGCAAATGGAGGAGATTGGCTTTTTTTTTCCAATTGACAACGTGGGTATTTTTGAGCTGAGCTAGCTAGGACCTTCATCTCCACCCTCCCCACCCTTGACATTTCCCCCTTAGCATGCCATTCCCACCACCAAAAGTGCCACAATCCATGGAGGGGCGCAGAAAAGCTTTCCCGACCGACTGGCCGACCGGCCTCAACTTTGACACTCCCACTCTCGGTTATCCGCCCCACACCGTACTTGCTATACTGGTGCGGTGCGGTGCACGTGCTCCGACAGCATTGCACCGGTGCGGCCCAGGTTAAGCTTCCTCATAGGTAGCCCTAGAATATATATCTGGCACAGCCGATCCGCGAGGAATGGAATGGCGGCCCCCATTTTATGTCTGTCTGTTGCGGTTATTCAAGGACGTGTGTGGCTTGCGCCTAAGGTACATGGTTGGTTTATTGTAGGTAATGGGTTGATGCGTGTTTGAGGCACAGGTTGGGCTTGGGCTGGCCGACCTTGATCACACCCTGACCGAATGACTGACTGACTTGGCCGACGGGTGCCAACCGTGTATTATCAATACCGATAGCTACAAGTATATACTTGCTTCATAGCCTTCATGAGTAAGACAAGAAGCAGGTGTATTAAGCTTCATGTCTAAGAATACTTTTGCTAATATGATGATGATAATGATGATGATAATGATATTAACTAAGAGGTAAAACTACCAAGAAAACAAAGTGAAAAGGCCATCTAAAACGAGTGAGAGAAAGCCAGAGAGAAGAGAGAAAAAAAAAACCCATGAGAAAGAACGCCTAATGTATCCCAAACTCCACAAAAAAAAAGAGACAAAAAAAAAAGACCATTTCAGTCAAACCCGTCTACCATCACTGTCAGACTATGGCTTTATATACGAGCCCTTATACTGCGTATCCACCGCTCTCCCACTCTGCTGACCGGAATGGTACACCTGGTCCATGTCCGGCTCGTATTTCCCGTCCATCAATTTTGCGTTCTCCGGGCGCGCGGCGGTCACATATCCATCCGAGCTAGCACTGCTAGCACTCGTCTCTTTCTGCATCGCTGCCCTTTGCGCCAGCCGTCGCTTCTTTGCCTGTCGGTTGCGGTACGTGAAGATGCAGAGGACGATTAGGACGGCGACGATGAATATGCCAATGACAAGACCGATAAGACGGCCGGTGTTGTCGGTGCTGTTTGGTGGGGATATATATGTTAGAGAGAGAAATATAGCAGAAGGAAGGACAATAGTAAAAACTTACAATGACCCACTATCAGTCTGGCCACTTGTGCTGCTAACAGCAGCCGCGCCGCCGACACCTCTGGCCGGGTCTCGTGCAAGTAACGAAAGTAGTGGTAACGCATCCACTGGTGCCAAAAGTCCGAGAAACATTCCCAAAAAACCCGCCATGCGAGCGTATCTAGAATCCATCTTTATTCCTTTTCGAACAAATAAATCCACCAAGCGAGCGAGTGTGTATGTAGGTAACGTTACTGGGCTTCTCTTGGAAAAATCTGGGCGAGTACCCCCCCCTTATAAGGAAAGAAACCTCAAACATTTTACCAGGGGTTTTAGTTTTTTTCTTTTCCCCCTGATCCCCTCACATACATGTATGTGAAGTAGCTTTCTTTTCACCCCGGACTGCGCAGCTTATTTTATGGTTGTTTTGACCAACCCGGACCCTCACTCACCACCCCGCTCGCTCGGAGAGGGAGAGAGGCTGTGTGCCACGCGCGTAGTGACACTGCAGAGCAGACACCTCTACGTTTTATTTCCGAATATGGAGGGTTTACTGTACTGATTGGGGGGTTTGAGTTAGCCTTCTTTCACTATTTCGGCTGTATTAGTAGCGTCGTGTCACCGACTGAGAGATCACTGACTTGATATGCTTAGTCATCTATTTGTCGCTTCCCCACTGGTTAGACACTGTCATAAATGTTAGTTACGAGTGCGGAAACCCGTTGGATATCGCAAAATTTGCACTTTGGCTTTGCTGATACAAGCCAAGGGGGAATGGTGATGCTTATGAAACATGTTCCCCTTACTTACCAGGTAATCGTACAGGGTGCGGGCCCGGGGAAGATCCTGATAGAGGCTACTATGAACATATCAACATATTCCACCGTATCGGACTGCAGGGGTAGCTTTTAGAAGACGAAGAAGACATCTCTCCATTCATTCCTCTTGACGTTCGGTCGGCAGGTATCCTGAAGAATTGTGCTTGTGGAGAAGCTACGGTAAGGAGTCCTTGTAATATAAGGTCTATCCGTCTCATGGAATCCTGTCCTATCGCGTTAATAGCACATCCTCCTTGAGGAACAACACGTAACCTGTCGTTCCAGTTCCATGGCCAGGGGAGGGGGGTTTAAGCCGTCACAGTTCCCGATTCCTCGGTACACATGTAAACTTTGGAACGGATATACCCGCTGGAGGCGTCTAATTGACACCGATCCAAACGCTCATTTAAGTGCGTATTCGATAATTGTTTTACAAGGTGATACCTCTTAAAATGCACCATCATCATCACCATCCACTCTTCTTTCCCGCCTTGTTGTCCACAAGGATAGAGAACAGGGTGGTTCCCTTCACCTCACAGTTCGTCAAGAAGCGAGGAATATAAATAAATCCTCATTGCTAAAAATCAGACAAGAGTGGTTGCATGAGCCGCAGCGACTAGGTTATCCTATGTTGTGCTCCATGCAAGGTTTCGGAGGTTCTTCCGCGCATAAATAATAACTGCATAAAGTGTAGTTTTGTGCACGCTTTACATCATTTTTGTTGGTCTAGCAAAATTGAACCGAGCGCGAGTGACAATTCATGAAGAAGAAGGCTACATGTATTGACTTAGAGCGTTTAGCAGTAAGTAAATTATCGAGTGATACCTCGTGAGCTTGTGAGAACAGATCTAACTGTGTCCAGGGATGATACGTATTTCAGCGCTTATCAATTGCTAACTGTTTATACCTACCTCCGCTTTCGTTTCACCTGTAACTTGTGCCAATGAGTTTGATGACCAAGGATGCAAAAACCATCCACAGGTAGATTCAAGCCTAAATATGGCCAAGCCGAACCTGTGACAACAGAATCTTGAAAGGTCGGTCTCCAAGGCCGGTCCAACGGTCGCGATATATCGATACGAGCTCACTAAGCTCGTAAGCCCCATCCACGACGACCAAGGAGGAGCTCACATCGGACAGAAACAGGTGAAGCAATATGCTTGCTCTAGTAGCCAAGGATTATTAAATGTATAGTCTCTCCAAGTTAGTAGCCTCATGGATTTGTGAAGACTTCAAACAAAAAGGAAACGAAAAGGCGAGAAAGAGCCGCCGTGGCTCACGACAACGAGCTGTTACTAAAGAGTTTTCCCGACCACAACCAAATAGCTTCATAGAATCACCATTAGTTACTGTGCAAATCTATGGGAATAGAAAATAGATAACTGTCGCGCAGGAATATCAGGGTTCCTAGTGGTATAAGCTCTAATGGTAGTAGGGACAATGGGGATAAAGAACGTCTAGTGGTGGGTGTCTGGTATCGATTTACAGAGACCTTTCTTGTCCGCGTAGCGTTACCGGTGATCAGGGTGAAAAAGCCATAGGGGGAAGAATCGATAGACGCCGGGTCAGAATATAATAGGTATATGTAAGTATAATAACGACCTTGATCATGATTGCAATAATGCTTCCCCAGCTTGATGAAGGGCATAATGGAGGGATGCGGAGCCTTCAACATAGCTGTTATATGGTGATTGCATGCAGGTAAGTTGATAGTGATAAATCCATTTCAATAAGGCTTACTGTGTCTTCACTGTGACGGGTAGGTGTACTTAACCGCTCAAGAAAGCCACTAGAAGTCGTCTCAGCATGCACCACCCACTCTTTACATACACCTTAACTGGTGGCGTTCAAAATCCCTCGGCAAGGATCCTACCAAAATGACGCGGCAAGTCTCACTATTACCATCTTTCTTCCCAGATTAGAGGGTTTTAGCTACACAACTTGGAGCATTTGGACAGAATCTCCTGCACTTCTTATTGGCTGCAACGTGCATGAGTTTCTGTCAAAATTGTGCAGCTAAAACCCTCTATTACTCGTAACTTCCTGACATTTTTGAACGCGACTGATATTGCATACCATACAAAAATACGCCAAGATCCTGATTTTGGGTGTATGCAATAGTGGCCCAGTCCAAAAACGCCAGGAGACTACGAGTATACAAACCTTGGCATGTTGATTCCCGAGTCTCGATAGACCCCTCTTTCTCCAGGAGTATGATCTCCAAGGCACGG